TGACACTCCTTCCTGGACTTGGTAATCCATGGACTTCAGCATAATTTTCTAGAAAATTTTTTACCACTTCAGCAACATTTTTGTCAATCACCATCTTTGTTTTCCATTGAGGCATCCTTTTAATATTACCATGAATGAACTCTTGTTAAAAGACCATGGTTTATCAGATGATTTCTGATGTTTTCAAAATAAGTTCTACCAATTCCCAACATATTGAGATAGGTTTCTTGACAAAGAGGTATATTGTGATCCCAGTGATAGAAAGTTCTTTTATTAGATCTATACATGGGATGGTAATTATTTTGCCAAAAACGTAATACGTAATACGTAATTACGAAATTAATTACAGGTGACGAAATTAATTACGGGTGACGAATCAATTACGCGTGATGAAATCAATTACGCGTGACGAAATCAATTACGCGTGATGAAATCAATTACGAATGACAAAATTAAATGACACCTATAATTTATCTCGTTATACTAGTATAATGACATAATTTGGCAACTTTTTTAGAATTATAGAATTTATTCTGTTATAACAACATGCCAGTATAATGGGAGAACCAATCAAAATCATTCTCATTTCTGAAAAAACATAAGGAAATAAAACTTACACCAGGATCAAGATCGGAAAATTCTGATAACACTTCTGTATAATGCTAGTCAATTTTGATCCAGCGTAAGTTTTAAATTTCCTAATAAAACATGAATGAAATAAAAATAAAATATATAATAAAAATAAAATTACAAAATCACATGATAATGATTCTCATATGACTTCTATATGAACTCTCGTTATAATGACATTCTCGTCATACTGACATTTTTTGCTTGTACGGAGAGTGTTGTTATAATGGGAGTGACTTGTATTATGATATTTCCAATAATTAATTCGTTGTTATTCATAATTAATTTCGTCACCCATAATTAATTTCGTCACCCGTAATTAATTTCGTCACCCATAATTAATTACATAATTACGTTTTTAAAGAGTGAAAGTGGTAATTAATTACGTTAATTACGAATTACATA